GAACAGGCATTTATTGGTGTAGGGATTCCCCCCCCCCCAAAAAAAAGGCTTCAAGCTTTAATCATGACATGGACATAAGAAATTACCACTGTTAAATAGAGAAATGAAGTAGGATCTGTGTATTCTCGAAAGCTCTGCCATTTGAAGAGCGCTGAGGCTTAGGGCAGAAGTATTTTTAAGAACCCAAGCTGCCAGAGCGCTGAACTGCTGACTTCAGTGGAATGGATCAGGCTGCTAGAGTTCCAGACATTGACATCATACTCCAGCAGTCATATCGTATCCTTCCGGTCTTCCCCACCAAAGCCCTACCTTCCCCAACGCCTGCCATCTCCCCAGTCGCAGTACTTACAGTTTTCTGAATGAAAGTCAGGAACAAATTGCTCATCACTGTCTGGAACCTGAGCTGCAAAGTGCAAGAAAGAAGGGCAAGTAACATTTGGCATCCCTCGCAAGGCATTTATTAAAAACAGGCACTAAAAGAAATATGAGGTTCAGCGGGGGGAGAAAAAAGGAAAAAGAAAAGGAAATCTAGATGCCTATGAGTTCAGAGCAGATTACAGCCAAGAAACAAAAGCAGGTTCACCCCTCCCTTGGAACTGCAACCACTTTGACATAGTCTTTTCCCCAGTAGATTTGCTCAGGAGCAAGGCTGCCTCTTTCCTCACTTCTCTGAAACATTGGAAGAAAAGAAGAAAGGAAGAGATCGCAGATACTTGGCAATATTTCTCCTTTTGCTTTTATTGACCGTACAACACCAGTTGCTTAAACATTCAGATCAAGTGGGGAAAGGAGCAAAGGGCCTCCAAGCTGGAAACCCAGATGAAAGGACAAGACTGGGTAAGTCACTAGCCTTCAGGGATCAAGCCAAACACTGCCAGCCACAGCAAAATACACGCCGAGAGACCCAAAAACAAACAAACCAACCAACCAGGCCACAGCGGCCACAGATGACATAAGATGCAGAAAACTTGAGCAAAGGAGTCAAACCACAGCTTTTATTGCCATCGCAAGATGCGCATTCAGGGACTTGAATCATCGCTGTAGCTCTCTTCCAAATCCTTTTCAGAGTTGCCAGAACTTCTCCTATCTTAGAAATCTCTGACAAAGCCATTGCTCCCTCCGAAATCCAGCCACGCTGGCTGTCTTTGGCCGCTCCAGAAAATAATGTGACCAGAGACTGCAACCGAGCATATGTAACAAAAAAACAAAAATATTGGGACACCTTTAAGGTTAATTGATTTATTTCAGTGTGAGCTTGTATGGATTACAATCCTGCTTCTCAGACAGATAAGAGTATGTACATTATTTAGGCCACAGAGAGGTGTGTGTGTGTTGGGGGTGTGTGTGGACCCATTGAAATAGGATACTGACCTGGGTAATGAACTTTCAAAGTGACAGCTATTACAAGTAATGAACATAATGATAGCATAAATATACTGGCAATAATAGGCTAGTGTACATTTTTGGCAGGCACACAATGGCCTTACTGTCTTGGAAGTTTTGATGCAAAGACTTTTGCTTTCAAGAAGGCATTGGTTGGGATGAGGCCAGAAAACAACTTTCTATCTGAACTGAAATTATAGAAATAATCAACTGATTAATAGGCATATTGATATAGAGAAAATTAGCTTATTAATGTGCCTGTGTAAACACACAAGCAATGTGCCATTGAGCCACTTCTGACTTATGCTTATCCTTATCAGTTGTTTCTAGAGTTAGGGTTGTCAGTCCCTCCTTCTGGCAGTGCAACTTGCCCAAGGATGCAAAGGGCTGGCTTTTTTCCAAGAAGACACTGTAGAGAATCAGACTTCCAACTGCTGGCAGGAGCTGTAATCCACTGAGCCATCAAGCCAGTTATACCATGTGTATGTGCTAAAAAGCCCCAGCCTCTTTTTAGATCTCTGTTTCAGGCTGTAGACGTTTACAGTGGCTTCACTGTGGCTCAAGGTTTTTCTAGAAATTGGGAAAAAGGGAAACTCAGGCGTAAGGAGTAGCAAGGAATAATGTGCAAAATTACTAGGAAGATGGTTAGGGAGTCCACAATGCAATCTTAGACAGATCCTCTGAGAAGTAAATCTTACTGAATGCAAACCATTTACTTTCAGTTACATATGCCTAGAGCTACTGCCTTGAAAGTTAATGAGCAAAAATAGGCAGCAATGACATATTTTGATATGGAGGCCAAAAAAAAAATGTAAAAAGGAAATTTTGCCAGGCTTTGAGGCAAGGGGCCCAGGACTACATTTATGCTGGACTACAACTCCCATCACCCCCAGACCAGCTCCCCCCATCTCATTTGTTTGCTGAGCTAAGGGTGGTGATCACAAAAACATGGAATAACACATTATGAATATATGGAACTTACTGCCACCAGAAGCAGTCATGGCTTAGGCAGATTTCAGGAAAGATTAGATCAACCTTCCATAGCTCGATTCTTGCCAGATGTGATGGACTACAACTTCCATCATTTGCAACCACTAGTCCACTGACTAGACAGTATGGCAGTTGACTAGTCATTATGGAGAGACTTAGGTTTTGGAAGGCTAGAACAGAGCAATTCCTTGAGTTAAAGTCTAATAAGGATAACCAAACTATTAAGAACAACTAAATTTGCAGTAGTTAGACTGAGAGATGGAACTCTTCACAATGTCACCTCAAATAGAAAAATCCATAGCTGAGTGGGGATTCAAACAATGGTCTTCCTGAACTAACAACAACACCATGATAGCCATTCAGTCTATGATAAACAAGCATTCCAGAAATAGAAAAAATTGCTTTTTTGTGAGGGGGTGGCAGTGTTCCCCCAAATCCCTCAACTTACAGAAGTGCAGAATTTCAAAAAAGAAAAAGAAAAAAAGAAAATGACATTCAAACCCACCCGCCTCTGCCCAAAGACGAAAATTTTCTAGACTGTAAATCTCACACCACAACTCCTAAAGTGCTCTCACAACTTGAGCAAAAGGAAGGCATCCTTTGGCCTTTCACCTCCTGAACATCTTCTTCCATAATCAGAATGTTTGTCATTTCCTTTGAAAACAAACAAAACATAAAGAAAGTGCTGAATTTGAGCAACAGCACCTGTTCACCATCTTTATGTACACGCAGCTATTTGCTAAAGTTGTCCCACAGATGGAAGCTGATGACTCCAGGATTGCCATTTCATGGAAGCACGAAGATAGAAATTCACAGTTATTGAAATAAAAAGAGAGAATGGCCTAGGCTGCAATTTGCAGTGGGGGAGGGAGGTGGAAAGCAGAAGTGCCCGGAAAACACAGAAAGATTTCTACTGCAGTTACAAAAAACACAGTGATGACTGAAACAACACTAAAATTGTTGCAAGGCTGAGTGCATTTTAAAGTGCTAGCTGGAAGACTTCCCCCCCCCCCATGAGGGAGAGACCATTTTTAAGATTAAAATCAGATGGTGGAGAGATCTAAACTTCGCCCTGTGTACACTGGCTACAATTCCTGACTGGAGGTACAAACACTTCTCCAAAATAATTTGAGTCAGTATTCTTGAGCATTCAACACTGCATGTTATTCATTTTGATAGCCAGCATGGCACAGTAGAACAGGGAGCTGAATTTGATCCATAGATTCCCACTGCAAACTCCTATCTAAAGCTCACTGGCTGTGAATGCAAGACAATCGCTCCCTTGCCGTCTAAGATACCTCACAGGATTGTTACAGGATAAAAAGGGGAGGGGAGGCTTCGGCATCCACTCCTCATGGAACGAGGACAAGTCAATAACAGGATAAGACTATGAAGTTGCCATCTTTGGAGTAAACATGAAAAAATATTCAACAAAACTCTAGAAACCAAGAAATCCAGGAGCAAAGCCACCTCCTACTGTACCAGCACAGATGAATCAAACAGAAGCCAAGCCACAAATGCTTATACTGTTCCAAGATATCATGTCACTTCTGAACCTTGCAAAGAAACAATGGTGTAGGTTTTCAAAAAAGCTGTTTTCAAACAAACAGTGCAATCCTCTGCATATCTACTTAGAAATAAGCCCTATTGAATTCAGTGGGGCTTATTCTCGTGTGAGTATAGTATTGCAACTGGCATTTACATTCTGACCAGAAGTGTTCACATCTGTATGCAGTTTACAACTGGTGAGGCATTGAAGACTCTGAGGAGAAAAACACCCCAAGCCAGTCCTCATAGTTCTTACATCATTCCGGGGGGGACAGACACTAACTGATGTAGCCATAAGCCCCAAACTATCCATACCTGGGCAATAGTTTTATTGGCTCAATCAAAATATCATAAAATAGTGTGTAAGCTTTCAATTTGGCCAGAATAAATAGGAATTAAAGCAAGGGGCAGAAATACCAACTGATAATTATAATATAACATAGAACTGCAGAGCTGGAAGGGATCATGGAGTCCAGCCCTTGTCAAGGAGGTGCAGTGGGGAATCAAACTCCCAACCTCTAAACCCACTGAGCTGTCCAGCACCGCCATGTAGTCTGTGATACTGGACACCTAACAACAACACTCTGTGACTACAGTCTTAGGATGTAATGTAAGAGGAACTCGGTCTAGCCTCTCCCCTCACCATGTCCTCAAGAGGTTTTGGAGGGCAATTCCTATCTATTCCACCAGTGGAGGGCAGGGTGTGTGACAAATATTGTTGTCTAAAGATCCAGAAGGCTTCAGGTTACCGGGGGCTGTAGCAGTAATTTAAATTAGATTCTGCTGCGTGTTGTGATGGTTTTGGTTACATCAAGGTCTATCCCTGGGACTCCTAAGAAACAAAACAAATGGTTGAGCCATCTTCTTCCCCTCACCCCAACATGTACACCGAAACATAGTGTCCAGCTGCGATGTTCGAGCCCTCTCTATCCAGAGGCAAAATCAATAGGTCCCTTGGTAGATAGAGAACATCTTAAATCATATTGATTTTATTTTGCTAAAAAAAATGATACTCCGAGGGAAAGCAAAATCAAAAATAAAAACCAGCCACATGTTGTACGAATCCAAAATTTTATTTTGCTAAAAAAAAAAATGATACTCTGAGGGAAAGCAAAAAAAAAAAAAAAAAAAAACCAGCCACATGTTGTACGAATCCAAAAGTCTCTCTTCGTGCAATGTCTTTCTTCATGGCACTGGCTTTGGGAAGGCACCCTAGGCAGGAATAAATACTAGAGAAGATTTGTAATGAATATCCGTGCCTGTTTTTCAGGATTAATGTTGAGAGCCATGACTGGGAAGCTTCTCATCTCTTGCTTGAGTGACTTTTTCTAAAAGGAACTAGTTTGGCTCGGCAATTCTAGCACTTTTATTGTTGTCATATTATTATTTCAAACAAAATGAAGGAGTTTAACTCCTGTAACAACGTGGCAACTTAAAATATTAGAAATTGCATGGGTGGATAATTTAACAAAGGCAGCATAC